GGCAAGGAATAAGTAAAAGTATCTCTATTTGCAGATGATAGGATCTTATACACAGAAAACCCCGAAGAATCCACAAGAAAACTACTGGAACTAATAGAAGATTTCAGCAAAGTATCAGGATTCAAGATAAACATACAAAAACCAGTTGGATTCCTCTGCACCAACAAAGAGAACTTCGAAGAGGAAATCACCAAATCAATACCACCATTTACAGTAGCCCCAAAGAAGATAAAATACTTAGGAATAAATCTAATCAGAGATGTAAAAGACCTATACAAAGAAAACTACAAGACACTACTGCAAGAAACCAAGAGACCTGCATAACTGGAAAAACATACCTTGCTCATGGATAGGAAGACTCAACACTGTGAAAATGTCTACTCTACCCAAAGCGATCTACAGATACAATGCAATCCCGATTCCAAATTCCAATGACATTTTTTAAGGAGATAGAGAAACAAATCACCAACTTCATATGGAAAGGGAAGAGGCCCCGGATAAGAGAAGCATTACTGAAAAAGAAGAACAAAGTGGGAGGCCTCACACTGATTTTAGAACCTATTATACCGCCATGGTAGTCAAAACAGCCTGGTACTGGTAGAAAAACAGATACACAGACCAATGGAACAGAATTAAGAATCCAGAAGTAAATTCATCCATCTATGAGCATCTGATATCTGACAATGCCCCAAATTCCATTAAATGGGGAAAAGACAGACTCTTTAACAAATGGTGCTGGCATAACTGGATACCCATCTGCAAAAAAATGGAAGAAGACCCATATCTCACACCATGTACAAAAACTAACTCAAAACGTATCAAAGACCTAAATATAAAATCGAAAACGATAAAGATCATGAAAGAAAAAATAGGGACAACGCTAGGAGTCCTAATACATGGCATAAACACAATACGAACCATACGTAACAATGCACAAACACCAGAAGAGAAAATAGATAACTGGGAGCTTTTAAAATCAAACACTTATGCTCATCAAAAGAGTAAAAAGACAACCTACACACTGGGAAAAAATTTTTGGCTACGACGTATCTGATCAGGGTCTAATCTGTAAAATCTACAAGACACTGCAAACTTCAACAACAAAAAGACAAAGAACTCAGTTAAAAAATGGACAAAGGATATGAACGGGCACTTCACCAAAGGAGACATTCAGGCGGCTGACAGATACATGAGGAAATGCTCATCATCATTTGCCATTAGAGAAATGCAAATCAAAACTACAATGAGATACCATCTCACCCCAACAAGGCTAGTACTAATGCAAAAAAACACAAAATGATAAATGTTGGAGAGGTTGCGGAGAGACTGGAACACTTACACACTGCTGGGGGGAATGTAAAATGGTACAACCACTTTGGAAATCAATTTGGCGCTTCCTTTAAAAAAAAAGCTAGAAATAGAAGTACCAGTAATGATCCAGCAATCCCACTCCTTGGAATATATCCTAGAGAAATAAGAGCCACCACACGAACAGATATATGCAAACTCATGTTCACTGCAGCACTGTTCACAATAGCAAAAAGATGGAAACAACCCAGGTGCCCATCAATGGACGAATGGATAAACAAATTATGGTATATTCACCCAATGGAATACTATACAATGATAAAGAATAACGATGAATTCATGAAACATCTCATAACATAGATGAATCTGCAACGCATTATGCTGAGTGAAATTAGTTGCATAAGGACAAATATTGTATAAGACCACTATTATAAGAACTCAAGAAAAGGTTTAAACACAGAAGAAAACATTCTTTGATAGTTACAAGGGTGAGGAGGGAGGGAGAGGGGTGTTCACTAACTAGATAGTAGACAAGAATTATCTTAAGTAAAGGGAAAGACAACACACAATACAGGAGAAGTCAGCACAACTGGACTAAACCAAAAGTTAAGAAATTTCCTGAACACAACCAAACACTTTGAAGGACAGAGTAGCAGGGGCTGGGGTCTGGGGCCCATAGTTTCAGGGGACATCTAGGTCAATTGGCATAACAAAGTTTATTAAGGAAATGTCCTGCATCCCACTTTGGTGAGTGGCGTCTGGGGTCTTAAAAGCTAGTGAGCGGCCATCTAAGATGCATCAGTTGGTCCCAACCCACCTGGAGCAAAGGAGAATGAAGAACACCAAAGACACAAGGAAAACATTAGCCCAAGAGACAGAAAGGGCCACATAAAAACCAAAGACTCCATCAGCCTGAGATCAGAAGAACTAGATGGTGCCCGGCTACCACCGATGACCCTGACAGGGGATACAACAGAGAGGCCCTGACAGAGCAGGAGAAAAGTAGGGTGCAGAACTCAGTCTAGTAAGATCAGACTTAATGGTCTGAGACTGGAGGGACCCCAGAAGACATGGCCCTCCAACTCTCTGTTAGCCCAAACCTAAAACCATTCCCAAAGCCAACTCTTCAAACAAAGATTAGACTGGACTATAAGGCATGAAATGATATTCGTGAAGAGTGTACTTCTTAGCTCAAGTAGATACACGAGTCTAAATGAGCAGCTCCTGTCCAGAGGCAAGATAAGAAGGCAGAAAGGGACAGGAGCTGGTTGAACGGACACAGGAAATCAGGGGTGGAAAGGAGGAGTGCGCTGTCACAGTACAGGCAGAGTAACTCGGGTCACACAGCAGTGTGTGCATAAATTTTTGTACAAGAAACTAACTAGAACTGTAACCTTTCATTTAAAGCACAATAAAAAAAACAATAATAATGAATGTCACCCATAAGTAGTGACTCCTTTAAAAAATCACCTATATGAGACCAAACAGTCAACAATTACTTTAGAACAAAGATGAGAATGTAAGGGGGCAGGGAAACTAGATAAATGGAAACAGAACAACCTGAACGGAAATAATAAGAATGTTCACATATTGTGAAGAATGTAACCAACTTCACTGAACAATCTGTGTGGAAATTGTTGAATGGAAACCTAAACTGCAGTGTAAACCTTCATCAAAAACACAACAAAATATTTTAAAAAGAGAGAGAGACTGAGACATGATAATTAAATGCAATGTGGGTTCCTGGAATGGATCCTGAAACACAAAAAGGACATTAGTGGAAAAAGCAGTAAAATCCAAATACAGTGTATAGTGTAACAGTAATGTACCAATGTTAATTTCTTAAATAAATGCACCACCATTATGCAAAATGTTAAGGTTAGGGGAAGGTGGTTGAACGGTATATGGGAACATTGTACTACTTTTGTAACTTTTCTGTAAGACTACAATTATGACAAAATAAGAAGTCAATAAAGTTTTAAGAATATAAAAAAAAAAAAAAAAGAGAGGCTTCTACAGAGTACAAAGGTAACTGAGAAGACACAGAGATGAGCCAAGTCACTCTAGGGATTCAGACTGGACTGTTGTTTTCCTTGTCTATCTGCAAGTAAGACTCTCCTTCAATGAGCTCAGCTGACAAAACGCTACCTCTTGTCCCTCACTGATGGACAAAGTGTTAGGAGATTGCCTTGCCACACACCTCTTTAGTCAGTTGCTCTAGTTTTTGTTCTTTCTCCTATAATCATTTGGCGGCTTGTCCAAGAAAGCTTTACACAGCTTTGACACCATTTTTCAACCTCACACTCTGCTGGCCTTAATGTCACTTTACCCTTTGACCTTACCAATCTTTAACATCTTCCTCACTGACAGGTACCTCCTAACCCTACCACTGCAATTAACATAAATAACCAAAATCAGTAATGAAAGGGACATTATTACCAGCCTTACAGAAATAAAAAGGATTGTATCTTTTTTCCAGTCAAATGCAACCAATATTCCTGAGGACCTATTATGTACCAAGCATTGTTCTAATAACTGAACTTACGGTGAAAAGCAAACAAAGTTCCTTCCTTCTGGGCCCTGTTTTCTATTGGTAAAAACCAGAATGGTCTAAACACTAATAGTACCCTCCAGCAGTTCACTGGGTCTGGGAATGAAGACCCTCATGAAGTCAGTGGTGGGAGTGAAACTGGTACAACCTTTCTTAAGGATAAGAAGGCAACATATATCAGAAAGCTTAAAATGTGGGTGCTTGTCACCAAACAATTCCATTTCTAGAACATTTTTGTAATGATATTTTTTGTACTCAAGGATTTACATACATATAAGAATGCAATCAAAAAAATTATTCATAGTAGTAAAAATATCAAACACCTAAATGGTAACAACAGGTAGTTGTTTAAAAAAAAAAAAAAACTGTCTCCCTTCCCAAAGCAATAGAACAAAACGGGCACAAAAGTAGAAGATTCAACAGAGGAGGACCTGACACCCTGATGAGTGAAAAGACGCAAATACACATAATAGAGAACAATTCTACATGGACACACTCTAGGACTCAGCAAATTCCACTCCTAAGTATTTATCCAAGAGGAAATCACATGTTCAACAAAAGACTCATATGCAGAGTGATCACAGCAGCTTTGTATAGTCAAAAATCAGAAACAATCCAAATGTCCATCAATAGGAGAATGGATAAACAAACTGTGCTATAATCACACAACGAACATTCCTTAGCAATAAAAACAAAGCAATGATACATGTAACAACATGGATGAATCCGAAAAACATTACCTGGGGCAAAAGAAAGTAGACACAAAAGAGTACATATATATGATTCCATTTATATCAAATTTTAGAACAGGGAAAACTCATCTACAGCTGGCGGAGGCAGGGGAGTATCTAACAGCAAAAGCATGGCACACAGGGAACTTTCTGGGGTGACACAAATGTATTTGTCAGACTCACTGAAATAGACACTTAAATTGGGTCCATTCTATCAATAATTTTTTTTTAATTACTAAAAGAGTTTTAATCAAACAGAATACTTGGATGTTACTAAAATTTGGAGTTTCAGTTTTTTTAATAATTCTGGCACGAGGTTACACCTTCACATGGATGTGTGATGTTTTAAATCTCATCTCACTGCTAGATGAACAGCTCCACCCAGTTAACAAGCACTCCCAGGGCCATACCTGGATCTCAGCAGTAATGGCTGCATTTAAGGCAGATTCTAACCCTCCATCAGCCATTAAGCTGCCCACCAGAAGATCAATCATGAATCGACGACCTGGACTTATGTTCACTTCATTGCCTGAAACTGACAAAGGAAAGGTGTTGTAACAATTTGAATTAGGCACTATCCCCTCTCAGCACCCCCACCACGCACACCCACTGCCCTCCAGGCTCACCTGCACCGGGCAAAAGTGCCGAGAGGGCCCGAGCCCGCTCCTCTGCAGTGGGCAGCAGCAGCGACCATCCACTCTGTAGTACCGCTTGAGCAGCCGCCTGCACAGTGGTCAGGACGCCCGCGCTGCTGGCCAGGGTCACCACAGTCTGCTTCAAGCTATTCAGGAGGACACTGCCCAGACCTAAACCAAGGAATTCTGGGTCAACCTGGTGACTAACGGCAGCATGCAACTGAAAGGAGAAAAACAACGTTCACTTAGAACTACTAAAAATTAGTGGATTTAAAAATCTTTAATAAAGATTTGAATAAAACTTAATTTGAAGTATTATTTGCATAATAAAGAAATGCTTCTCAGATATACATATTACATAAAACCTGTTGCCATCAAGTCAATTCAGACTCATAGCAACCCTACAGGGCAGAGTAGTAGAACTGCCCCATAGGGTTTCCAAGGAGCAGCTGGTGGATTCCAACTGCTGACCTTTTAGTTAGCAGCTAAGCACTTAACCACTGTGCCACCAGGGCTCCATATATATATATTACACACACACACACACACACACACACACACACACACACACACGCCCGTATCATTACACAAATAATGCACACCTTCTGCATTTGTTTGCCGGCTGTGCCCTCCCCCTGCGAGATATTCTCCTAAGTGTGCTATGCTATTTTCTTTGTACAGCAACATGTGGAAGAGGATTGGCATGGCAGTGCTTGTTAAGAGTAGCTCGCGGGGGAGGGCACAGCAGGCAAACAAATACAGAAGGTGTGTGTTGTCTGTGTAAAAATACAAGATATATATACACACACACAGATATCTATATACATACAAGTGTGTATACACACTCTCTCACACACACACGCGCGCGCGCGCGCGCGCACACACACACACACACACACTGGACTAAAATAATTTTACCCACAGTAGTTGAGAATCCATGGTACTTTATAAGAAGAATGGTTCTTAACCCAACTATAAATACATATATGGAAAAGCTCAACAAAGGGGCCATAACAACATGGAAACAACCACCTCTACCCCACCTCCACAACAATAGTATATGTAATATAATCAAAAACCTTTTACAAATGACACAGCCAAGCTGAGAGTATTCAAGGGAAATCCTCCTCGACAAAACCCAGAACTGCCATCAACACCATCAAGAGCCAATGAGGTCTAGGGCTCTGACAGCAAATCAAAGCCTCTGGGCTTGAGATCAATCCCTAGAGTGGGAACAGGGGCGCAGACTCCAAACTGTCCCAGATAACACCCTGAACCTAAACTTCCTGCAGAATGCCAGAAGCCATTAAAGAACGCTTACCCGTGAGTCCATCCGGAATGGCACACACTGCCCACCAGCTCAGGAAATGACACAGGTGGACTATCTGCTCAAGGGTTTAGGTAGAACGAGACCCACAAGAAATCAGAGACCAGCTTGCCCCATAAGTAGACGTGAAATCAAATTTATACTACCCACTTAAGGTATTAAGATCACAAGTCAAGAATGAACATCAAAACCCATCAGAGCCTGAGAGAATCACAGAACTTCCAACAGGCAAATGCAAATCTGCCCTTGTGGAGCCTCTTCCACAGCCAATGGCAAAGGGACACCCTGACAAAACTTCCCCTGAAGGTAGCCTCCCAGTCAAAAATGACAAGCCACCAGAAGGGAGAGTTTGCAGACAGAATAAGAGGAGCAATGGACACCCCCAAGAGAGGGCAACAAACAACTGGAATGGATAAATAAAATCTTAGAGATCAAGTAAGTACAGGACCCAGAAGACAAGCACATCATAAAGCAGGATGAACACTCTGAAAAAGACCCAAATATAAATCCTGGAAATGAGAAAAATAGTATGGCAATAAAAACCTTAAAACAGAGGTGGGAAGAACCTGAACTCCAGATTCGAATCCTGATTCTACATGTACTAGGTACATTACCTTGGGAACATCACTTAACATCTCTGTGCTTCCTCCTCTGTACAATGAGCATAGAGGTTCCTACAAAATACCTAGAACAGGCAAATGCACAGAAACCAAAGTAGATCGGTGGTTACCGGGGGCGGGGCGGGGCGGGGGGTTATTGCTTAAGGGGTACTAGGTTTCTCTTTGGAGTGATGAAAAAGTTTTGGAAACAGATAATTGTGATAACTGCACAACTCTGTAAATGTAATTAATGTCACTGAATTGTACACTTAAAAATGGTTAAAATGGCAAATTTTATGTATCTATATTTTATACATTAAAAAAATTGAGGCCCTCATCTTTAATAGGGTCGTTACATGGATTCAATGAGTTAATACTTGTAAAACATTTAGAAAAGTGCCTGGTCATTAAGTAGTTCTTAAATAAGGGGACAAATTCAACAATATGGTACATTCAGTTAAAGGAAGAATTTGTGAATTGAAAGCAAGAGCTGAGTAAATCATCCAGAAGGCAGAACTGAAAGATAAGGAGATAAGCAGTAAAAAGCATAGAGATTTAAAAATATCAAAGTTGTGACACTCAGAAGATAAAATAAGAAAGTTCAATATATATTTAATAGGAGTCCTACAAGGGAAAAGTAGGTGAAACAGGGAGAACAATTTCAATTGTGTAAAGGTGAAGATTTTTCAAAACTTAACAAAGATATGAAATCTCAGGTTGAATAAAAACATATAACCTCAAGTTATACAAACAAAAATAAATTCATGCCTAGAAAAGAAAGAAAAATCTGAAAGGATACCAAAGAGAAAGACAAACTAGCTACAAAGAAACAACGATTCCACTATTATAACGTTGCTCATCAGCAACAATAAAGGTCCAAAGACAAGAGAACAGTATCTTCCAAGTGCTAATAAAATAACAGGTAACCTAAAAAGTTAAGCATCACTAATTACCTTAAGAGAGGTTGAAGTTAACAGAGTTTTCAGACTTCACTACTCACAAACTTCAATGAAAAAACTAACTGAAGGAGCTATCTTAGCAAGCCCACTCCCAGGAGGGAGCGCAATGTAAGCAACAGTGAGAAAACAAACGGGTGAAAGAAAGACAGTATCTCTAAGCACAGCCTCTAAAAAACTGGAGAGTTAAATGAGGAGCATAACTAACTGGGAGGAAGTTAAAAAAAAATAATTACTATATTTCACCAATCTAAGAGACACCTTTTTTTCATGGTTTAACATCTCTAAAATCAGAACGTATCTTACAAACTGCAATTGGAAGCAGTGTGCCTTGGATCCAATGTATATGATAGAATGACAATTATGATGCTGAAGGTGGAAAAGAGAAACTAGGTTTAATGTATCTTAGACACAAATTCAGACACACTAATAATTAAAAGAATTGTAAAAGAATTAAATTCATCTTTTGAATAATGACTCTTAGATTGGATATTTTAAGAATCAAGTTCTACAAGCTAATTTAAAAGGACACAAAACATAAGGACCTATAAAGACTGACAGTAAAGAAATGGAAGAACATATGCCACCAGCCAAATACAGACCAAAAGACATCCAGTGTAACTAAGATATGCACAGTGTTGCTACTCACCACCATGTTGTCCATGACAGCAACACCACCTCAAACCATGGGAAAGCCACCAACACCTGGGGCTTACTGAGGACCGCACTACACCACAGGTGCGACTAATAAATTAGTTCACATACATGATTCCTGGGGAAGCGAAGTACTCTCAAAACTTTTGTTAACTTATTATAACTTGACATGACGTTCATTTCTGTGCATTTAGAAGCCAAGGGAGGGAGGGCACCAGGGGCATATGACGGGTTACACAGAAATCACTGTGTAAGAAACCCAAAACCCACAGCCGTCGAGTCGATTCCAACTCAGAAAAATTACTTTGTCAAGAGAAACTTCTTTCCTGACATTAAGTTATGGGATTTCATTACAAAGACCTTATTACCAAAGATAAAGAATAATATGATGATCAAAGATTTCAGTTATACTTTTACCAAAAAAATAGAAATATTTGTGCGGACTTTCTTATTTTAACGCTTAACAAACAAAATACATAAAATTAAACTGAGATGCAGTTAAGGTGTTTCTGTAAGTAGCCAAGTTTACTGAGTAAAGCTTTCATACTACAGGGGAAAGGTGGGCCAGCACATCTCCCCAGACTCTCCCTCTCTCTCTCTGTTATTGTCTCACCAGCCTCTCCTCCAGAGACAAACACTAGAAAATTCAAGATTAATTCCCCTGATAATGCCAAGAAGCTGATTACATCAGAAATGTCACAATTCACAGGCACTCATCCTTCACTCAGGGACTGACTTACAGGATAAATACGAAGTAATCAGATAGTTCTTTTTTAAGCCATAAATACATTATTCCATCATAAACTTATTTTAAAACGTGTCAAAATTTTCCTTAGCAATTCACTTAGGCTAAATCTCACTCTTCAATATGCATAAACATTCTTATAAATACCTAACCAATAAACAGTTGCCATTGTGTTATTCTAACTCATGGCAGATGCCATGTGTGTCAGAGTAGAACTGTGCTCCATAGGGTTTTCAATGGCTGATTTTTTTTAAAGTAAATTGCCAGGCCTTTCTTCCGAGTCACCTCTGGGTGGATTCAAACCACCAAGCTCTTTCAGTTGGCAGCCAAGCATGTTAACTGTTTGCACCACCCAGAGATTCCAAAACCAGGTTGCTGTCAAGTTGATTCTGACTTGTGTGTCAGGGTAGAAGTGTTTGCACGACCCAGTGAATATATAAGATACTTATAAAAAAGAAGGTGGAGGACAGGAAATCATCCGTACCTGAAGTCGCAGAAGATTCAGCACTGCCACTGCCATGCATTCTTTCTCCTGTGGCGGGGGCCAGTCAGCAGTGCCATCCATCCCGTCACTCACTTGACGTAGCAGGAGATCCAACTGCTCAAACGTCATCAAGCAGATGTCCACCACAAAAGGGACACGGAGGCCAATGGACCACTCAGAGCAAGATGACCAAGCAAAACTCTACAGAAGAAACACAAAGGCCTAACATGAATGTACAACATTCAGCTTTGGTCTGTCCCATGGCACATCTGAGACTGTTATGAATGATGAGGATGCCTTGAATTACGACTTCTTAATCCCACAAAATGTCCCAAACGCATATGTACTTTTGTGGCTGTGTAGTGCACACCCTATTAGCTTCCAGTATTCTCTCCCATTCACTACTTCCCAGAAAAAAAGTTTTTTAAATCTTTTCATTCAAAACTATTTAATGCACATTAATGGACGGCAGTGAGGTTCACAAAGCATTGGCAGTGGTACAACAGTAACTATAACCAGACAGTGAGGGCCGCATATTTACTACAACCCCTAGAGCAATCACTACAACACTATACCAAGAGGTAAACAACAACTCAGTTAATAAATTAAAGTGCGATACCAAGAACTATTCAAATAATCCAAAAGAAGGCAGGAAAGGAAAAAAGAATGAAAAAAAGAGCAAAAAATAATAATAATAAAATGGTAGCTGTATATCCAACATGTAATTAAAATTAAACGGTTTAAAAACAGACACAAAAAGAGAGAGATTGTCAGAATGGATAGAAAACAAAACCAAACTATATGGTGTCTACAAGAAACCTACTTTTTAAATAAAATGCTAAATGATATCAGGCAAAGTAGACTTCAGAGCAAGGAAAACTGCCAGGGATAAAGAGAAACATTACATAATGATAAAAGGCTCAAAACATAAAACAGAACAATCCTAAACATACATGTGCATATATCAACAGAGCTGCAAAACACAGGGAACCAAAAGCTACTAAAAGTGCAAAAAGAAATGGACAAATTCACAATTACAGTTAGACATGTCAAAACTACCCTCCTACTAACAGATAAAACAAGGGGGCAGAAAAAGAGCACAGATCTAGAAGAACTGAACAATGCCCTCAATTACCTAGATCTAATTGATAGTCATAGAACACTTTACCCAACAAGAGCAGAATACATATTATCGCAAGTGCACATGGAACCTTTACCAAGATAGACCATATTCTAAGTCATGAAACAATTCTTAACTATTTATAAGAATTAAAGTCATACAGAGTATGTTATTTGACCATAATAAAATTAAACTAGAAACCAACAACAGAAACTTGAAATCAGTAAAAGTAAATTAGATGTCATTAACTGGAAAAATCTCTTCTAAACACTTGGATATTAAACAACAGGCTTCTCCATTCTAACTGAAGTAGCAAAATGTTGACTCTCAGTAGACTGAAAAATGCTATGTATGTATGTGTGAACCCTACAGAAACCAATAAAAAAAACTATAAAAAGAGACAGACAAAATCAAAATAAATTAATTAAAATCGAATACTAAAAAATACTCACATATTCCTGAAAAAAGCAGGAAAGGGGAACTAGGGGAATAAATAACAGAGAAAACAAACAACAACATGGTAGAGCTAAATTCATACATGTCAATAATTACACAAAGTGTAAATGATCTAAACACGCCAATTAAAAGACAAGATTGTCAAATGGATAAAAAGAAAAACATGACCCAACGATATGCAGTCTCCAAGAGACTCACTACATAGATAGGTTGAAAGCAAAACGTGTAAATCTAACAAAAAACATGTAGAACACGTGTCCGCAGAGAACTACAAAATGCTGATAAATGAAATCAAAAAAGACAGAAATCAATGTTTAAACATATTGTTACCATGAATTAAGAGTTAGCATAGCAAAAAATGTCCAGTAGGATACTTCTGTAGATACAGACAACGGTATTCTGCTTTATTAATTTTATATGGATAGCAAAGGAGCTAAAATAATTTAGAAAAAAGAAGAAAGTGGGAGAAAGCAGTGTGCTCAATGTCAACATGTGTGATACAGCTACATTATACAAGATGTGTAACTGGCAGAGCAATAAACTCTTACGTCAGTGGAGAAGAGAGAACCCAGAAACAGACTCATACAAATATGCCCCGTGATTTTTTGACAAAAGTGCAAAAGCAACTAAATGGAGGAGCAATGGCCTTTTCAACAGATGGTGCTGGAGCAACTGGATATCTATAGGCCAAAAATAAAAATAAAAAAGAAGAACTTTGACCTAAATCTCACACCTTACACAAAATTTAACCCAAATGGATCACAATGCTAAATGTAAAATATTAACTATAAAACCTTTAAAAAGAAAACAAAAAAAAGTCTTCAGGATCTAGGGCTAGGCAAAGAGTTCTTAGACTTGATACAAAAAGCACAATTCATAAAAGAAAAAAACTGATAAACTGGACTTCATCAAAATTAAAAACTTTTGATCTTTGCAAGACCCTGTTAAGAGGGTGAAAAAACAAGCTATGAACTGGGAGAAAATACTTACAAACCACAAAACTGACAAAGGACTAGTATCTAGAATATACAAACAACTATCAAACCTCAACAGTAAAAAGAAAACCCAGTTAAAAAGGAGACAAAGGACATGAAGAGACATTTCAGCAAAGATATGAAACAGGACACTCCGGCAAGATGGCGGTCTACGCAGAAGCACCACGCCGTCCCTCCACAACAAAGATCCGAAAAACTAAGCCAAACAGAGAATCAACAATCCTGAAACCCTAGAACATCAAATGAAGAGATA